CCAGAGTTGACATGTTTGTTTGCATTTTTCATCCTGACGCTTGTCGAGTATAAGAAATAACTTGGAGACACCCTCACATAAACATCAATTTATTACTTATTATACAGATTTTTGTACAAATCAAATGAAAAGATTATCCAGCAAGTCTGTTCTATCAGACTCAGAACAGACAAAGCTAATCATCATAGAATAAATGCTATTTTTTTATGAATTACACAGTATATGTGCAACAGCTCATTTATGATAACCATTGGAAAAATAGGGGATTCATTTGAATAGGTTATTGGTTTAAAGCTGGAGGTATTCCCCAGGAAATATGGTCTTATATGTTTCAGGGCTTTGCAGTCCCTGGGAACCATGTGGGGGAGGGTATGTAACTTTTCCTGCTTCTATTTTCCTCATTCGGTCTCATTCCCAAACCCATTGCCCCCTGATATTCCCCAATGCCCTGTCCAGGATGTATCATATTAAATTGAGGGTGAAAAGGGCACATTCTTGCAATTTGTCCACCAGGAATTCTTAGAGGACTGTTGAAAAAAAGCGGTCTCACAAAATGTCTATATTTATTTACTGTACACAATTTCCCAAATGTGCCACACCCATGTCACATGGCAGCCCCTATGACTCAGTCATAATTTACTGACCCTGAATGGTAGAACAATGTATCTGTTTTGAGAACAGCCTGTTCTTTCCTATCAAGGCAAACCATAAGGATTGTGCTTCACCTTAAAGAAAATGAAAGCATCAACACAGCAGTTCACACCTTTCTTCACATCTACACAGGCTACAGTACAATCAGTATGCTTTTGCTGACATATAGGATCCTTGATAGGTTTTAGATAAATACTGTAATCTAGAAGCCTGTGATGCATATTTAAGAAGAATTGCTTTGAACATTATGAAACACTGTGTGTGTAATGGACATAGTGAGACGTCACACAATTGCAATTGTTTCCCTCGCTGCAGAAATGAAACAGTGATCCAGAGAGGATGTTGTGTAGAGACCCAATCACCACAACATCACGGCAGGCTCACACATGTGTTATCAGCACTGGCCTCATATTTCCATCAAAACACAGCCATATCTCCACCAACAGATCCCCTCTGATAGGGTTAGGAGGGAGAGGAAAACAGAGCACCAGTGATAATGGTGAACACAGTATCTGTCAACTACGAGCAGACACAAGCTCCTGCTTCCTCTCTGTTTTATTTCTGATTTCCACCTGCTTTGAACATTTAGACAAAGCAGAACCCTGAAAATAAGAGACTGCACAGACTATTATTAAATGTGTCAATCATTAGTTAATCTATTTTGTAACTCCTATTTGCTTTTTGCTTGGAGATTAATGGAAACATGGATACCACTCTCAGTTCAATTACTTTGCTAGAAAAGTTAGGCACCCACGCCTTCTCCTTCACATCATTAGTCTCTGACTACTTTGCATTGGAAAAGTTTCAAGATGTCTCTTGGATCACTGAAAAACATCTGTGTATGTGCACTGTTGGTTTAAAGTGGATTTTCTTGAAAATCTATATGCATCCGTTATTTTGTGGGAACATGTTGAAAATGCTGAAAAAGCCCAATCTGCTTATCCTGTTAAAGAAAGTGAAAAAAATCCTGGAGCCACAGCAAAATTTGATGGGGTCTTCGCTGACCAGCACTTTATCCTTCCACCAAAGTTCGTGGGCATACATTGGTTTTTTATGTGATTCATTTTGCTTGCAATCTTACTCTTGCTGATGAAAACACAGCCTCCTTGGCAGAATTGATAATGTGGAAAAGGCACAAACCCACATGACAGCTCCATGCCTCTGGAAAACATGAGGTCTTTGATGGAGCAGCTGTTGCCGTGAGGATCGGACCTCGTCTCCACTGTGGACTCCAACACATCAGAGAGTCCAGTATCATCGCCTGCTCCTTCATATCCTGCGCTCAGAGGCAGCCCCCATGGCCGACACAGAGGGTAGACACTGTGTTTTCCAGCATCGAAGGTCTCAGAGTTTACATGACACGTTCTGCTCTTCTTTGATCTGTGGCCAACTGTACAGACTGTGATTGTTCACACGGGATCAAATAATGCTAAGATTAAATGACTGTTCTAATGGCGCAGACAGTCAGAGGTTTTATCACTGCCTGTTCAGAGAATGAGGAAACCTTGTATTGTTTCTAACATACATTGCTCTCTGAGGTGTTCTGATCATATGTTCCTGGCTGTGAACCACTGACAACACCAAAGTTCAGTTGAAGAGCAACGACCCTTCAACAACAACCCCTGCCATTGTGTGTGTGTGTGTTTGTGTGTGTGTGTGTGTGTGTGTGTGTGTGTGTGTGTGTGTGCTGCCATGGTTTGGTAAAGTTGAATGATTTTAAATTAAAGTATAATATAATGGCAGATTACATTTTTTTTAACAGCATCGTTGCTTTTAATCACTGCTGTCAACTGTACAGTGAGCCGCTGAGATCATATTTTGGTGACACTTAAAATAACCCTATTTTGGGATCCTCGTCCAAAATGTTCAAGTTACATGTGTAAGTTAAAAAAGAATGGGTCAAGAGCCCCTTGCACCCCTTATAGGATTAGCAGTATACATGGATACCATCATGAAACTCTCAAATTACACTCAACACACTGGTTGGTGACAAGGGCCAACCGTGGTGTAGTCTATCACCCACCGGAGCTGTGTTTGACTTTGTGGGTTAAGAGCTGATCCACTGTTTTACAGCTAGGACGGAAACCCCATCACTCCCCCTGAATCTGAAATTCGACAATTTGCTGGAGCTTTCTGTGCAGGACCATAGAGTAGTGTTTACTTAGGAGACTGAGCAGTGTGATTACCTGTCAGGGACCAAGCAGAAAGGCAAAGGAGAATTATCTTCAAATAAACAACTAAATCCATACGATTTACAAAAATAGAAAATAAACTACAAAATCATGGCCCGAACTTAAAGAGGTCAACTAAACAATAAGACAACTATATTTTCAACATAACTTACAGACCTCCTTTACAAATGACACACAGGGGGTATATACACATGTAGACTAGTCCAGACGGGCACACAGGGGAGATCTAATCAAACGTACCATGTTAACTACTCAAATAAACTATCAGCATACAAACATAAACATCAAAATAAGTTAACAAACAGGATTAATTTATAACAACTACCGAGGTCAAATAAACAATTTTCAACCCATTCTAAATCTAACCACTTCCTGTGGGCTGGGCTTAAAAGGCCACTTCCTGCAGGCTTCAGGCCTTTTTCAAGGGAGCTCGATGCAAACAAAGTGTTATTGCAAATTAAAGAGAAACACAGAATAAGTCAAGACCAAATTGTGTGCACCCACCTCAGAAAATAAAGATGCTATGAACAAAAACTGTGTAAGGTTTTTACTGAAATGAAATCTAACAAATTTATACCAACACTGAGCTGATGGTGTAACCGTCACATTTCCCAATGATCCAAACACTTACTTCAGTTCCCCTTTTTGAAAATGGGAACCACTCTGCCACGTCTTTGATCCTCTCAAATACAAATAAATATCAGCCTCAAAAATCTGTTAGCTTTACATAAATTGGATTTACGCTGTCATTAACCCATTAGCATGAAAAGGTTTTTCTCATCTTAACTCTATCCAACTCTAATGTCGACTTGCATCAACCCAGCTGGAACCATCTTTAGTACTGTGAGATCGTGTCTTCATGTCTTCAGTAGTGTGTGGGTCCTTTCTTACAGTTTAGCAAACACTGAATACAGGAGTCAACAGTACAGTATTATTTAATATTTTACTTCTCACAGACATGAGTGCTGCAGCCAAAGAGAAGAAGGTCCGTGTCACATTAATGATATAATCTCCTCTGGCAAGCACTGTGTTTTTACATGGTTTCTTTGGGGAGTCAGCCTGAGTCAACTCCCCTTTTTATGTCCATATTAAGCTTGGCCTCTCACACACAGAGGGAGTCATGTCCACATTTTTATGAGTGTGTAGATAAAGATTATCTGTAACACTTAGTGATTATATACTGACATGCTATAAGAGAATGAGAGAACCCCTGAATGGGCATGTGGTTTCAGACTTTTGGATATATCCATATATACTTATGCTTATATGTAACTATAGACTATGTGTTGTATGGGAATTCTGTATCTTATAATTTTACTTTGCTTTTTGTATTCACATTACATTACAATTTCATTTCCATGTACCATTTAACTCATATTGATGTTGTTTGCCTTGCACGCTGTGTTCATTATATCTTTGGTGTTCATTGTACAGTTTGTATATTGTTGCTATCCTGCCTGGGAGTTAATTGAGAGGAGCTGTGTTCAAATACTTGGTCAATAACTGTGATCCTGATGGTGCTGTCTGTAACCGCTGTCTCCCCGTCACGCCACAGCAGACATGAGTCCAGACATTATCTTGAAATCATTGAGTCTCAGAGCATCCACACAGCTGATACATGCACCATTTGTCCTGAGTGATTTAAGCTGAATCCCCCTTATGGAAAATAAGGAAACACCTACTCACAGGCACACGTCATATCAGCCAATCAAACTGAACCACACCTCATCAGTCATGACTGCCTGCTGAGGAATCATACTTTAATTATTCTCCTGCTGAGAAGATGTGTTGTGTAACTGCAAAGAGACTGTAATAAGTCCACACTGGATGTATGTGGCTGCAGACCTCCGCCCTTCCCCTCTCATTCACTGGGTTCCTCCTCTGCACACTCTAAATAATATCCTCCAATACTTTTTAACTGTGTGAACCTAACCCTTAACCCTAACTGTTCTTCAACAAATCTACACAAGCCATGAAAGTTCTGGAACTGAGTTGTTTAAAGCAAATCATGACATAATGAAATAATGAAACATAGTGCATTTGAGAACGACTGCACAGTGATAATGAGTTGTACAGATGGTCACTTTTTACAGTGTAGACCTCCTGTCTCTTCATCTGCCCCCCTCTCTCTCTCTTTCAGTCACTGGCAGACTTCCTCTTCACACACTCCCTCCACACACAAGCACACACACACACCCGAGCACAGACAGCTGCAGCACCAACCATCAACCATGGCTGTATGGGACACTGCCTCTCTGCTCCTCGGACTCCTGCTCCTCTTTCACACCTGGGGAGGTGAGTACCCACCCAGTGCAGCTGTAGGTTTTGGGGTTATTTGGACTGTGCTTGATGGGGAATCAGTGGTGACTTTGCAAACTTTTATCCAATGCAACATCACATAGATTCAGATGAACACCCTCTCACAGAAAACTAATTGAGAAGTTTATTTTGAAAGTAGGTATTTGCATGTGTTGTAACAATTGCAGGCTTGTCTTTGCCTTTCTTCAAGTGTTTAAGAGACATAATGGAATCAAACAGCTGGCCTGTTGATGGCAACTATTGGCTGCACAGAAATCCTCTCAGTGCTGATGGTCCAGGTGAAGCTGCTATAACTGCAGAGATGAAAAGACACAGTCTCCTCTTGCTTACATTATTTTTCAGAAAATCAACAGAGGCTGGTCAACAACGCTGTTACTGCGCTGTTGTAGTTTAGTATCTTTAATTGGAAAAATATTGTATATTTTGCCGTATTAAAGTATCCTTGAAGTGAATGGCCATTTCCGCCCCCCTCATAGTTTAAATGTATTTTCACGTTGAGACACCAGGATTGTTGGGACATACTGTGAAACCCTCTGAATGAAATGACCATAACGAGATGCAGCACTTTGCTAATTTCCATGGCTAAGTTGGTTAGTTTAAGAAGTTTGCAGGGATGTATTTTTAGCCGCTGTCATGTACAGAGGGGCAGTTGTACAGTGAAGGATACTCTCCCTCTGCGTTCTGTCAGCGCCTTGCCTGTTGAATACCTCTACCATGTTTCTATCACACACAGTCAAACACACTGAGGTAGACTGTGTGAGGCACTCGGCGGCTGCAAAGAGAAATATTCACGATTATCTTGCCATCTTGTTTATTGTAAAATAGACCATGTCTTTAAATCAGCTCTGAGAGACTAGTAACAGATTTTTTGGTGAGATGCATGTTGAGGGGCAGAGCAGGGCTGTTTATTCTCTGAAGAGAGTGTAAATGTATATGTTGTGTTATGTGGGTGAGAAGGGCATGCTACCTCTGATCTCCACATCACTGCTTCACTTTACTGGACCTCTGCTGTGTCGGTCTGCTCTCACTCAGGTCAGTGTTTTCCCTCTCAACCTTTCCTCTCTTTGAGCCTGACTTCCCTCCTCTCCCCCCGTCTTCACCTTTCCTTATTCCTGTTTGTCGTTGACCACACGAGCCTCCTTTCCTCACCTCTCTGCATTGTGTTGAGCTCCTGTTTAGGTTCAGCCAGACCATTGTCTGTGATCTCATTCAACTCTCTTCCCCTTAATCAAGTTCACTTCCTGGAGTAATGGTTTTGTGGCTTTCTTATCGCTTCACGTTTTCCCTTAGTTTTTGTTTTATTACATCATTTATCACATCTCATTCAGAAATGTCACATTATCTTCTCAATAGAGCTGTTTCTGTTGGGTTGGATTTCAAAGGGTGCAATAAATATATTGATACGCCTGTTAAAGGTGTGGCTCTTTTCAACAGCTTTTGAACAGTCCTTCATAAGATATCCAGTAAATTGACTTTTAATTTAGTCTGTGAAATGACAAAAATGAATGCCCATCAGTTTTTCCAGTGAAATCTTTAAATATAATTATGAAAGAAAATTGTAATATGTTTATATTTGAGAAACTGGGACAAACAATTCTGCAATAATTTTTATCTGCTTGGAAATTTGCAGCAGATTGATTGTTTTGTTGATTAATTAAGTTATTGTGTGCTGTTCTAATCGGTGTTAGGCAGACTTTTGTTAGGCAGACCACAAAGGAAAAGGAAAAGTCTTTGTGGTGAGATATTCTCAAGCATCTGATGATGTTTGTTAATGCCCACTCACGCCATGCCGGATCTGCAAAGACGCTATGTTTAAATACATGCACATCAATGTGCACATGGGTGCAAATGAGTGCGATTGTGTCTGTGCCAAAACTCTGTCTCCAGCCTGTGATGACATCGGAGGAAAGACGGACATGCTGTCGAGCAGTAGTAGTGACCCTCGATAAAGATGCAGTTCAGTTCCTGTGACATCAGCTAATCAAGCTGAGCCAAAGAGCAGCCACATTAGACCTTGCTGACTTAAAGGTCATCACTTTCTGCTGCAGCTGAGGCACTGAGACTTGCTTCCAACAACTGCTGCTCCTCAGAAGAAGTGAGCTGGTCACGGACAATAAATGTCCTTGTTGTGTCTCGGCCGCAGCATTGAAAATTAGGCTTGACAATCTGGCTGAGGATCAGCAGAGCAGCCTGAAATGAAAGTCTCTAACTTCAGTACTCTCTTCCGGAACATATACACAGCGAGGACTGTGACTGTTTTATTTCCAATAGGAGTCTATGAACAGCTGTTAGTTTGTGAAGCAGGTTAGACGTTGTAAAAAAAAAGTTTTGGAGGTCTTTGATGTTCTTTGATGTTCCATCAAGTTTTTTTCAATCACTGAAAGTAATTTTGCGCTCACTTTATTCACAATCAAATATATCAGCTCTATCAAATTATTGCAAGACATACTCATACAGTTTTGGCATAAAAAAGAGTGTCTTTGTAAACAGATGAAGAAAGTGATGATGATGGCCTGAAACCAGGTCCTTGTCCAGAGAAAGTTTGTCATGGGCACATGGTGTCTTATCTTTTTCCTGAAATAAAGCCCTGAGCTGTTCAAGCACTGTGTTTGTGTTCCCATGCAACAGACTCTTGAGGACAGCACAGAGAAAAGGAGCAGTCCACCACTGTTTTTGATCAGGCCCTTGACAGTGGAACATCAATCTGGAGATGTCTAAAATTGTTTTGGTGAATGTACGGTTGTTAATGTTAGTGAAACATTATCCAGATCCTAAGTGAAGCCTGGAAAGGAAACAGGAGTGAGTGTTAGTGCGGTGCCGTTCAATGTTATAATACAGTGGAACATATTAAGGCCAATGACAGAGAATATAACAGTTTTGAAAATATATGTCTTGATTAACCATGATTGTTCTTTAACATGGCACAGGCACGTACAGTGCTTCTTTGCTTGACTTTTGCTTCAGAGGGACTTGCTTTGTTTTTACAGTAAATGCACCTTTTAAAATTCTGACACACTAAAGCAAAGATACTGTTGGTGTGAACTGAAAGGAAAACAATAACACAAGTGATAAGTAAGAGTTCAGTCTTGCTACTCTTACTTTTGATGGAGAAAATCAGCAGTCTATCATCATGAGCCTTCCTTATTTGGTTAGGGCTTGGGGGTAACCAGTGGCTGCCGTTTAGAGACTTCTGGAGATGTCTCTGCTTGTGCATTCAGCATGTCTCCTAAACTTCAGTGGTTTTATACCTCAATAAAAACATGGATGTTTAACCTACATAGCCTGTTGTTAAAAGATTAGAAGATTACTGAACTTCTTACTGTAATTCTGTAGCAACACTGTTTTGTTATAGTAGATTTTGGCAGCGAAATAGTCCTCACAATCAAAGCAGTGGAAATTTGTCTTTGCTATGGTTCACACAAAGCACAGAAAAAATATAATTTTCTATAACATAATATATGCACACAACATCTCATAATCACAAATATACATGAAAAGGGTTTGGTTTTTCACAGAGTGACACAATAATAAAGCACAATAAAGAATTGTGTTGTTTAACCATCCAACATTGACTGAAAAGTATAAAAGAACTAAAGCAGAATTAAAGAAAAGTCTGGTACATACACCATGTTGGGAACAGCAGTTTCAGACATATGATTAATAACATGTGAATGCCAGCAACCTTTTCACCCTCTAACTCCACTGCTCTGGTATGTACAGTCATACTAGATGCTGGTAACAGTAGTCTGTTCATTATCTCATGTCATGACCAGGTTACTGAGTGAAATTGCCATGGGTAAGGAATTTCCTGAGTGACTTGTGGGTAAAATCGGAAGATAACATGTATGAGTAATGGATCTGTCAGTGTACATGGTGTATTCTGTTTTCTTTGACTGTTTTAATGTTGGCAGGTGATCAGACAAAGAAGAGCTTCAGATTGTGCTTTAGAAGTTAAAGATCAAAATGTAAACACACATTACTGATTAGTCTGTGTGTTTATGAACATTTGACCATGGAAGCAGAAGAAAAGCCACATTTTTCTTAAGTGTTTTTATGGAAACACCGTTTTGCTGCAGTGTCTCCCTGCAGAGCCATGTAATGGGTTGAAGCTGTGCACTTGGGAGCCTGCAGTGAAGAAACAAAAGGTTTCCTTTTACTGTTTGATCTTCCCATTGATGTGAATAACATCCATTATCACCATTACTTGGGTCAATATAGCAAACCAGTGATGAGAAGGTAGTGGAAGTGGTGGGGGGGTGCTACTAGGAGAAGAAGCTCACAGGCCTTTGTGCTTTTGTCATCTGGGCCATTTTGTGTGTTTTCCCAGAGTAGCAGCAAATGATTGTTTGTATAATGCGCCTCAGGAAAAGAAACACTCCGCAGATTTGCCTCATTGAATGATATCTTCCAATCAGGACTTTATTTTGCCAAAGCGAGCGGCCCAGCTCCTTCTTACAGTGTGAAAGGAAGGAAGCAGTTCAGTTTTGTCTTATCAGAACGGAAGAAAAACAACCTTTTGTCAACTTTTTTCTACCAAGGAGAAACTTTTTTTTTCTTGTGGTGCTGTTGGCTTGAAATGGGCAAACATCTGCAGTGAAAGGGATTTCACAAATACCACAGCATGACTGCTTTTAGTTTCAAAGCTTCTCGCAACATTCTTCAGCGCAGCTTGGTTTTCATAATGTGGAACACCCGATCAGTGATGCCCAGCTGAAAGCGTTAACACAATATCAGCTTTGTGTCTGGACGTGCAATGAGTCATTTCATCTGTAGGTCATATCTGAGAGCACTGCACAGCTTCAGGGTATCTGATGTATTGCTCTATGTTTGGCTGCAGGGCAAAACCATTTCATATCAGGGGGTTTAGAGATCACTTTTTAGCAAGTGCAGCATCTGAGGAGGCAGCTCCCCCTGACTGGTACCACTTACTGCAGCTTTGAAGTTCCCTGATCAGATGGACAGCTGTGTGCACCTGG